ATCTGTTTTGGGAAGAAGTTCAGGCAGAATGATCCTTAAAAGCAAGGATGGTGAGAATTAGTTTGTTGTACTTTGGACATGTTATCAGCAGGGACCACTGTGAAGAAGGACATCATGCTTGGCAAAGTACAAGGGCAGTGAAAAATAGAAAGACTGTCAACAAGATGAATTGGCATAGTGGGTACAACAATGGGCTCAAATATAGCAACAATTGTGAGGATAGTGCAGGATTGTGCATTCATTTTGCTCTGTTAGATACAGGGTCTCTATGAACTGACTTGAGGGCACCTAACAAAAACATAATAAAATGATGATAGATAAAACTACATGGGAAATTTAATATGCTTTCTATTTATATTTATGTATATTTCAATATTTTAATTAAAAGTCATATTTTTAAATTAAAAAGTCATACTTTTTTTTTCAAAATCATTTTACTGGAAGCTAATACAGATATCATATCAGTTTATAGCTCAGTAACATCAAGCAGTATTGTAGAATTGCTACCACAATCAGTTTCAAAACATTCTCTTCCTTCTTGAATTCCTTGATGTCAGCTTCCTTTTTTGTCCCCCATTCCCACTGTAGCCCCAGGGACCCCTGTTCTAATTGCTGTCTCTATAGGGTCATCAATCCTGGGTTTTATATACCAACAACCAAAAAACATATAATGAAAATTCAAGAGGGCTATCCCCAATGACAAAATGCATTAGAGATAAATCCCAATATGAAACAAACAAACACAGAAAATATTGAAAACCAGATTAGACCCAACGTTTATCAGAACCAGGAAGCAGGAAGGTCACAGGCTGGTGGGTGCAGAGTTGCGTGGATCCACGGTCAGTGGGAAGAGTCTCAGGGTTAGGTGGCCCTGGAAGCAGAGGCCCAGCAAGCAAGAAAGTGAAGTCACACACACACAGAAAGAGAGAGAGAGAGAAGTTTCTGATGTCTTCTTATAAGTAGGCCACACCCCTAAGGAGGAACTGTCAGCTTTGACCTGATTGGCAGATTGGATTCCACCCCACATGAAAAAGCATCTTGACATAAAATCATCAAACTACTATGGTGTTCATGCAATATTGTTAACAATGTGATAAAATCAGAACCGACTTCAATATTTTAGACTAGGAATTTGGTTAAATAAAGTATGGCACATTCTTATGATGCATCTTGTGTGGCATTCAAAATTATGTTAGAAAAGAATATGGGAAATATTTGTGATATAAATGTAAAACAAAACAAAAAGCATTGCAAGTTCTATATGTATGTTTACAAATAATCTGTTTTTAAATTTTGTAAAAAGTAAATTATATGTATGTGGTGTGTGTGTATGCATGGAGAGAATAGAAGGATACATATTAAAATTTATATCTTTGTAGCTTTCAGAAATACCTTTTTGGAAATTGAGTCTATCTAATTAAAAAATTTTAAAGGTTGGATATTTTGGTTTTAATAAGTTAACTGTTCAATAGTTTAATTGTTTAATAGGCAATTTAAGAGCATACAATGTCATGTAACACGTATACCATAAATTTGATTAAAGTTTGGTGTCTAGCACACTTTTTGGCACAGATTTGGCACTAAAAATACTGAATAGAAGAGGATGAGAATTTATTTAAAAGTTTCTTCTTTACATTTTTCTTCATTTTCTTTAAAGAATATATATTGATTTTAAAATTAAAAATTCACTATTAAAAATTGAACCATATTGGTAAACTAAGATCTTCTTTTCTATTGTGAAACCTAAGAAACCAAAACATACTCACTGAGATCACTTCGTAAAGAAACCTGGATTATAGATGTTTGTTCAGCATCTTTTTTTCCCCTCACAATCCAGTTTTCGAACATCTTCAAATAAAGAAGTGGCTATAAACAGTGGTAAGACTTGTAATTTTACTTATTATCCCTTGGAGGTGTTGAAGGAGGATCCTTCGTTGTTGTTGTTATTGTGTGTGTGTGTGTTTCAGTCATAGTGCTCACTGAGTCCTGGTATTTGCAAAGAAGCCTTTTGGACCCGTGCACACTAACTGATGAGCTCTAAGAGGCTCGATCCTGGTACATTTCTAGGTTTCAGATGGTGCATCGAGAAGCCCTGACGGCATAATGGTTATATGTTAACTGCTAGGTCAGCAGTTCGAAATTCCCAGTTGTGCCATAGTTGGAGAAAGACTAGTCTCAGGAACCCACAGGGTAGTTCTACCCTGAGCTACAGGGTCACCAACCATTGGAATCTACTCGATGACTGTGAGGATTTTTTTTAATAGTGCCTTAAGGAATCCTGATTATCTAGTAGTTTAAGCCCTTAGCCACTAACGGAAAGGTTGGAGTAATACCTGACCATCTGGTCCTGTAAAGGTCACATAGAAACCCCTCTGTGACAGTTCCACTCTGTCACAACTGGTCATTAAGAGTCATTAAGGTCATTAACATCCACTCAAAAGGATGTAACAACCAAAAGGTTTCTTACGCATTATTTATTGTCTACTCGCTTAAATGAACACTGCTGACATTTAGTCTTTGTACTCATCTTATTATTTATTTATTTTTACAGATGATCAAGATACTGGGGATATAAAGCCAGCCCAGAATTTCACATCAAAACCAATCACACAGGTATAGATTTATCATGAAACCAGGTTGTATCTTTTTAAAGAAGTATTTAAATATACTTCAATCATTTAAATATATTCAAGCAAGATCATTGTAACTATCAATAGGTAGTATGTTGGTTTGAGATTGAAGAAGTCTATAATGGCTATCCGAAGAGTTAGTTCAGTCTGAGAAACCCACAGGGCAGTTTTCCCTGTCCGATAGGATCACTATGGTCGGAATTGACTTCATGGCAATACAGAGTTAGCAATAGCTCCCTGGGGCTGTACTGGGTTACATGATGGGCTGCTAACTCCAAGGCCATCAGTTTAAATCTATCAGTTGCTCCATGGGAGAAAGATGAGTCTGTTTGCTCCAATAACATTTACAGTCTCAGAACCCCCGTGTAGAGTTGTTATCAGTTGAAACAGATTCGATAGCAGTACATAAATGGAAAATGTATTGTCATTAATCATCCTAGTCATATTTCCTGTGAACAACGGCTACATGGCTAGCTCCAATATTCCAAATGCTCTGTTGGACAGTGATGGTCTGGAGAATTATCCTTGACTTCTAGCAACATTTTCTTTCTTTGATAAGTTAATTTAAAGCTCTTTTTAAACTCAACTCATGTCTGATTTGGGTTTTATGATATTTCCTCAAGAGATCACGGCTGTTAGAGTTGCATAGCATGGTATACTTTAAAAAGTCTATATCGCTAATATTATTTGAAAAAATATATATTTTTAATGATTTAGGTCTTTGAATTTTGGGTACTTTGTGCAAGGAAGCTAACATACCTTTTAGGTCTTCCTGTCATTTTAGGCTTGCTGTGTTCTGGTCTGCTAGTGACGTAATGGTTTGGTCCCCTAGTGACGTAATGGTTAGGGTTACTGTGATTCAGAATTGGCTTGATGACAGTGACCATATCCTCAGCTCCATGAAACATGGACTCCAGTAAGAAAGATTAGTCTCAACAGATTGTGAATTAATGGGTTTCCATAGAATGATTTTTGTTCTGTGTGTTTGTGGGAATATAATTACTTCCTTATACTTTCTTTTTTTTTTTAATTTGGCTAATTAGGCTCTCGACTATACTCTGAGCAAACATTTAGGAAAAGAACCTTGGAAAACATTCAGCCATCACAGTCCACTTAATGTCTCTGCTCATGGAATTCCCTGCATTCTATTCTGGACCAAAAGAATAACAGTTAAATTTAAGAACCAGACCTGGCTGGACCTCACCGATGAAACATTTGGCCAGGAGGCAACAGTGGACGTAGTCAACTCGAATTGCAGGGAAGAAAGTGCCACGTAAGTTGTAAGTTGGTCTTTCCCATTGAGGACGCCCTTGGGAGCTAACGCTTGCATTCTGTGAACGCTGGCATCTAACTTTCTCTCATTTCAGAGAGGAGAAGCAGGTTCCCTTGCTTATGACCCTGAAAAACCTTTGGGGGATGTATGTAAAGTCTGAAAAAAGAGAACAAACCAGAAATTAATTCAATGAAAAAAAAAGTATGGATTGTTACAAGAGCTATAAGTGCCCCCAATAAAATGAAAAAAAAAGAAGAAGGAATAAAAAGTGTTCCATTTTTTCCCTAGCAATTTCCTTCGGAATGATTTAGCTAATTATTACAATAACTTGTGGGAAAGGAGGGCTCTGAAAAGGAGGCTGCCTGAACTCATTCTACAAAAGAGAAAAATATTTCAGGGTTGGTATTATCTCCCAAAACCAGCATTCTAATGATTTTGGTTCCTCGATGAAGACGCGACCATCCCATCCCTTCGTCTAGTGCGTGAAACCGCACCGCCTGACCACGCAGAGCTGCTCGGCACATGCAGCTCTCTGCCTCGCACAGTTACAGTCGTGGCGACCCGCGAAGGCAGTTCTACTCTGCCCGACAGGGCCCTGTGAATTGCAGTCAGCTCGACGGCTGTGAGTTTGGTTTGGTTTTGGAAGTTGCGGGACTTTGCCAGTTTTCAAATGTGCAGGGGATCTTGTTTCAGAGAAAATTTTGGAACATTTCAAAATGATTAAAATCCTTTTGATTTCAGATAAGTGGATTGAACATATGACCCTTCCACAAAGGAAATCAATTTCTGTTGCCGTTCTCTGCTCCTTAGTCATCCCAGCAAAATGCTTTGTTTTCATTTATTTGGTCCCGTAGGAAGACATCTGGCATGTGCACTCCTTCTCTATAAGCCTCCCTTTTACTGTCTGCGTGTATAATGGCTGTTTTTGAAAGATTCTCTGCATTTGGTCTGGCCTGGTTTAGAAGGACAGACTGCTGTGTATGCATTAGCGTAGCATATGCGTTTGGTGATTGGTAAAATGGATTATATTGTTACATATTTATAGGCCATAGAAAGTACCAAATCACTCAGAATGACAATCATTGAATTGTAAATCTGTGGATCCAGACTTCTCTCAGGTTTGCTTATTCTGTTCTAGCACAACTATCAAAGAGACTCAGCAATTGCCGTGCTCTCTGGCTATAATGAACTCTCCATATGCTTCTTTCTTTGTTGTGCGTTGTATGAGAGGCAGGTTGCCTGGGGATCATCTTGCCTGTCCACGGCTGTCTGGCCCTTTCTGGCTCTGTTTATCCTGAGCCTGGGCTATGGCAACACTTTGTCTCATGTACTTGGGACATGTTACCAGACCAGTCCCTGGAGAAGAACATCATGCTTGGTAAAGTGGAGGAGCCGTGAGTAGAGGAAGGGCCTTGAAGAGATGAATTGACACATTGACTGCAACAATGGGCTCAAACTAAGCACCTCTTAGGAGATGCCGCAGGACAGGTGCTTCCATGCTGTTGTACAGAGGGTCACTGTGAGTCGGAACTGACTCAATGGCACTTACCAGCATCAGCAACAACAGGATTATTCTGGGGAAGACAACACCTTCGAGTGAGCTTCAGAGAGTTTAGAGTTTACTGGAGATGGAAATAAACAGAAGTTGGCCAATGAGCTGTGTGACTGTTCAAATAAGGGCTTCAGGGTCAGCATCTGGGACATAGACATGATGGCATGTATTAGACCTTGAGTCATGAAAACAGTTAAATGCTTGACTACTAGCCAAAAGGTTGGTGGCTTGAACCCAACCAGATGCAGCGTGGAAGACAGGCCTGGCCATGTGTTCCCGAAAGGGCAGAGCATTGAGAAGTCCCGTGGAGCTGTTCTCCTCGGCACACATGACAGCTCACGAACCAGCAGCAATCCCAGCTAACAAGAGCCACGTGCAACGCCACCGTCCTGTCAAAGGCGCAGTTGCCGCCATTCCTCACATTACTATCATCCGTGTATGAGTTGGCATCGACTCCATAGCAGTGAGTTTGTTTGTTTAGTTTTGTTTCAGATTATTTGTAGAAATCAAGGCTCAAAGTGGTAGAAACAACAACAAATCAGAAGAAATCTTATCCAGTTCATACATACATGCATACAT